GGTAGCCCAGGCTGGCCTCGAACTCACAGAGATCCGCCTGGCTCTGCCTCCCGAGTGCTGGGATTAAAGGCGTGCGCCACCAACGCCCGGCCCTTCCTTGAATTTCTATATGCAATGCCAGTGACCTCTTAACCTCTCTGAGCATGAATATACTTCTCAGTAAAGATAATAATGCATGTCTCCAGAAGTACTGAGATGATGAAATAGAATAGTGTTCAAATGTGTAACGTGGGCATAACACATAAGTGTTGCATCTGTTGGTTCTAAAACTCTCTCCCTGACACAGTGTTCTGAGACCTCAAACCAGCTAACAACTACTCCTTCTCAAAGGAAACCTCGTCCTTGAGCCATCCCACACCAGTTCCTGAGTTCGTGAAACAACTTCCTGACTACTTCTCTATTTCAGTGCTGGAAAAATGGCGATTTAGATTCTGAAATAGAGTATGTGTTAGATATTAATGCCTACCAGGACTCAGTATGGGAACTAAAATGAAGCCCGTGGTCCTTGAGAGAGTTAGTTATGCTACCAGCATCTTAATCTTCTGTGTTTCAGTTCTACTAGATGACGTAAAACAGAGAAAGACAGCTTGCATTATGAATAAACAAGTAAGAGCAGGCCTTATCACACTGTCATTTACACAACAGAATAAAATCCTGAAATCCTGCAGATGAACAAATACTAAAATTAGAATGTTACAGCTTTGAGAATTTTTAAATGGCAATAACTTCAATCCAAGAATGTGGTTTCTAGCTTACACTGAGTCCTCTAATTTCTGGTCTTTAGTACAGTAAGTTTTGTGACAATAACATCAAGGTTACATTTGGAAATGCAAGAGTAATCCCGCACAGAAGACAGTTTCCACGTCTTAAAATATGAAACCCCATCTCTTTAGATGTATGGGGTACCTGGGCTTTTGATCTTCTTTTTTCTGTTTATTCATCTGTTTGCTTGTTCTTTCCCATCTTTGAGAGACATTTACGTTCACTGTCATGTCAAGTAAGAAAAAAAAAATACTTCCCATCGCCTTCTCCCAATACAAAAGCAGCAGCTGCTGCTCTGAGTCAGAAGTCCCAAACTTCCGGAGCTAACAAGCAGCTGGTCGTGAGCTCTCACACTAAAGCATCATGGGAATTCAGCACGGTGCCCTGGCTCTGGTTTCCACGAGGGAGCATCACTCCCCTGCTACATACTGGGTACCAGGAAAAGTATAAAAGGAAATCTCTGCAGTGGCAGAAAGGAGAGCAGGGAACACATGCTTGCTGTCTGTCTTGCTCAGCCGTAGGCTCTGTTAGCATTCCAATCTGAAATGCTTCTTTTACCCCCGCACCCTCCCACATACCCTGGGCTCCCGTTCTGAATGCTCAGTCCCTGGTTTGTGGCACTGTTCTAAAGTCGGTGGAGATTTTTGGAAGTGAGACATCACAGATACAAGAAGGTCGCTATAGATGGACCTTTGCAGGTTGACTTGGTTCCGGTTCTGGCCTACTTTATCTACTTTCTGGTTAGCCACCTTATGGTCATTAGAGTCAAGAGAACACACGTGTGTGGACCAGTAACAGAGACGATGTAGACATGAAAACGTCCTACAAATGCCCACAAGTTCAGAGGAGGAAGTAACTGCTGCGTTTGACCTCTTACCTCCAAAAGATCACCCACAGTAAGACTCAAATTTAGAAATTAGAAGAAGGGAGGTCTAACCAGTGAAGTTTTGTTGTCCACTCCTGGTGGACATGTCATCTAAAGTTTCTATCCTTGGACAGAAAAATAAAGGCAAATTAAACACCAGATATCACTGCAAGCCTTCCTTCCTTCATTTGTCCACTCAACAAATATGACATACTTAGCATGTCAAGAATTAAATACACAGACAGAATACCAGTCAGCCAAGACTGATATAGAAATAAAAACTCAGAACCAATGAAAGTAAATAAAATATGTGTAGTAAAAGAGATGATAGATAGATGGATGGACAATAGGATGATAGATAAGTAGATAGATAGATGATAGATAGATAGATAGATAGATAGATAGATAGATAGATAGATAGATAGATAGATAGATGGATGGATGCACAGTAGGACTGTAGATAAATAGATGACTGATGATAGACAGATAGATAGATAGATAGATAGATACATACATACATACATACATACATACATACATACATACATACATGATGGATGGATGGATAGATAGATAGATAGATAGATAGATAGATAGATAGATAGATAGATAGATAGATGATAGAGCCATGTATAATCTAACATTTATTGAGGAACTATAAAATAACAAAATATACCCTATCCCAAGTCTTTGCACATCTTATGAAAAATCAGCCCCCCATTCCCAGGTCACTTTCGTAAACACAATTACTTCTGTTCCAGAATACTTCTTGTATCCTCTTACATAATTTCTTCCTAGTTGCTGTTTCTCTCTTAGCAACAAGAACTTAGTTTGTTAAGGACTCTGTAACTATATATCCAATCTGGCAATATTCTAATTAAAACCTTGAATTAATCTAAATAAATTTAACCAAGGACAGTCAGTCCATTACCATTGTCATCAAGTTGGAAAGCAGTAGACTCCATCAAGATCACAAATTTCTCAGCCCAGCAGAATTGTGTATTTCCTTCCTGAGCACTCACGGTCAGCACTCAGTCTCAGAAATGTGCAGTGTCACACAGAAACTTCAGGATGTGCTGGTATGTTGGCCCCTGAGCCCAGCCAGGCACCTGAGGGATGGACAGCAGAAAACCTCTTCAACCTATCTGAATCTGTTTATTACCTATACCAGCCTGACACCTTCAGTTTACCTGCAGTGATGGTCAAACAAGACAGCCGAGGTGACTACTGAAAATGTTCTATGCAATGCCAACCTTGTAAGGCATTGCCAAGTCAGGCCCCCTGGGCTGGGCTGGTAGTCCCCAGTACTCACGGAGATGACTTTGACATCATGTACTCTACTGTTCCATTAAGCAACTGACAGGAACTTCATTATCAAGCCCTACACAGTGGGGAAGGTTTTGAGGTTAGGTTTTGTTTGCTGGTTTGTTTGTTCCGGTCAGTCAAACCAGTCAAGGGATGACCTGAGAGAAACGTATATAGTAAACCAAGAAGCTTCACTGCAAAAAAAAATTACCAAATGTGAGGATGTCGGGGAGAGAAGAACAACAGCATAGAGAAAAGGCATGCTTTGGGGGACCGGCCAAAGCTCCATACAGAAGAGGTCGTTGCTGCCATTGGCTCCTTCTTATGGCAGCTCTCTGACTGGAAAATGATGACGCCAGCGGTGGAAATACAATGCAACCTTCTGTTCTCGGGGAAATGTGAAGGAATCGAAGCCCAAGGTTGCCTCCTTACCCACTCCTGAGGCGCGTTTCATACCATTGTTGACCTTGTGCTTTCTCTCTGGTTGCCATGGCATCAGAGAGACAAGCGCCTCACCATTTTGAAGCTGAATTCTCTCACAAACAAAATTGTTTCCATTTGAGGCTATGTGCTACCTCCCACCCCATCAGAGCCCTTTCGGAAGAACACATCTTTAAAATATGGATGGAATGCATCGCATTTCTCAAACTGGAGTTGGGGATGGGAGTTGGGGTGTGACTACATAGTTTTTTTTTTTTTAATTCGAAAATGCAGAAAAATATACTTAAAACAGAGTAGAATTGTTCTGAGTCCCTTCACTTACACATGTAAGGGGCATTCGGACATTTTTATCTCAGTCTTTTGATCTATGGATATATAGATGTATTTTGTATTATACATTGCGAACTTACAGCCCAATTACATATATGGTATAACGATGTATACTTTTTCCTTCACTTTGTAACCACAGACCCCCTCTTCTGAAATAGGGCTATAAACCCAGGCATATTCCAAAATGTTAGCAGCATGCTAATTTACATCTCATAAATTCTTATGGAAAGAAATTCAGTAAGACAGAAGGCTGGCACTCCGGGAGATCAAGGCAGGGGGATTGATGCAAGTTTGAGGGCAGTCGGAGCTGTACATCAAGATTCTGTCTCAAAAAAAAATAAAAACAGGAAAGAAGTAGTAGAGGGAGGGAGGGAGGGAGAAAGGGTAAGAGAGAGGGATGGAGGCAGGAAGGTAAGCCCAACAAGACAGACAGCAGCCTAGCCCTTATCACTATGACTCTAAAGGTTGAAGAGAAGTTGGTCCTGGAGAAGAACAGAGTGACTGGATGGAAATGCTTGCCAAGTGTGTTTGCTCCTTGTGATTATGCTGCTAAAGAGAGTACACAGATAGCCTCGTAAGCTATCCTGAGTCTCTTAAGAAAATTGTCTGAGTCGGTCACTGTAAGGCCATGGCTTTTCTTTCAGTAATGATAGGTTCTTTACATTCTGCAATTAGGAATTCATTAGCCCATTTGTCTTAGGAAACTACCAAGGTGACTAGGCCAGCTCCATAAACCAGGGAGCAAGACTCTAAAGGGCAGAAAAATATGCATGAAACTTGTGCTACAGTGGCAATTATATGGATTTTTACATGAAGTATTTCAAATCCAAGGCCTTCAATTTAGTAGATGGATGACCTTGAACATGTTATTAAAATTCCCTAAGCCTTAACTCCCTAATTTCTAATAATACCCAGTTATAATCTTGCACTGAACATTAAATAAAATGAAATATGAAAATAAATTATTATACAGTGCTTGACACACAGTAGGTGCTCAGCCTACATTGACGCTCTTTTTTCCATGGCAATCTGATTTGGAATTAAAGGTAGCTGGCAGTATGCTGTGTCTGCAAAGCAGTGGCGTTCCCATTGCGTGTTGGATAATCGGAGAGTGAATCTAGGTTGTTCTCCAGTTCTGTGTTGAGAAATTCTCAGAACATCACTTTCACTCCTTCCCCAGTAAAAAAATGTTTTCACCTGAGGATAATGGCTCTTATAATACCAGCAACCGTGAGGTTGAAGCAGGAGATGGCCATGAACTGGAGACCAGCCTTGGCTACATAGTGAGTTTCAGGCCAGATGGAGCTAAACAATAAAAAGTTTTCTAATGAAACTTGAGTCAGGAAAAACAGGAGTGTTCACAGGGGCAGAGGTTCCATTTTCTGATTGCCCAGCTCAGTAGCGGAAGTGCGTTTACTGCAAAGCGTCTAAACCGAAAGAGAAGAAAAACATCCCGGGTTCACTGTTAAGGAATTTCCTTAACTGTTCTACCAGGGCTTCTAGCAAAGCGAGGCTTCCGCACATTTGGCATCAATGGGCGGATGTGGAGGCTGCAGTGGTAAACAGAGTCAGGAAGCAAAACCTCATTAGAAACTAATTGCTTTATAATTAACCACACAGGAAGCAAATGACATCGGGAGCTCGCTCAAGGGACATTTGAAGATTATGAGATTAAATTAGACTAATTATTTATTAAAACTCCTGAAAATGTATAAAAGGCACAAAAATGTATCTTAATATTGCCAGAATTAATCAAGTTACATTTTCTTTTCCATACTAGGTTCATTGAGAAAGATCTTGATGTCAACCTCAGGCCTCCACGTGCGCATTAACGCGTGCGTGAGCGCGCACACACACACACATACACACACATACACACACTACCCATTCCTAATGTTTGACTGAGCAGGCTCTCCAGCTGAAGAACTAGAGATTGAGAGAGTTGGATTTCTGAGCTCAGCCTCCAGAACAGTTCTCTCTGCCTTAGGGTATATAAGCCTTTTCTTTTTCCACTATGGAAATGTCTTCTTCTTTGGTGTGACAGGGTAAGACAATGCAAACGTTCCTCCATCTTGGATTCTTGCAGAGGCCGTTTCAGGATTAACTAGAATTTGATCTCCTTGGTGGAGAATCCCATGGAAAATCAGCCACTCTATTCTAGGAAACCGAGGTCAGGATGTCCTAGCTTGGTTTCTGTTAAACAGCCTGCTTGCACCAGAACCCAGCCTCCAGCTAACTGCTTATCTTCACTTCTGTCAAGCCGCCTGCTCACATTTAGCTGCCCATCTCCACCCACCCCCCGGCAGCTGTCCAGTGATATGAGATGCCAGGATATGGTTTCTACCTTCAAAAATCCTGTGTCCTGGATACTCAGTGCTACACTTAGGACCTGAATACCTGAGTGTAGTACCAGCCAGCTGGAATAAAGACTTTCAGTTGGCTGTAAACTGTGACTGAGTGGTCGCCTCTGGTGGATAACATTGGAATACAGACTCCTACTAAAAGGGAAAACGAGAATTTAATGATAAAAGGAGATGTAATATTTGTTTTTAATGTAATCAGTAATTAAACTTGTATTACCCTAACTGGCAAAAATATGTCTTGTATTTGACAATGTTTGTAGTCTTTTAAAAACTGAAAGGTATTTTAAGAATGTAATGCTTTATCTTTGCATGAACAAGAGAAAAAGCTTGATATTCTTTAAGGGAACATTTCCTCAGTGAATAAAATATAATAAACTAAAAAAGAGGTCCCAAATCTCCTTATAAAACTTTTTAAATACCTAGTAAATAGTTAAGTAGGTAGGAATTACCTAATATGAAAAATGTTCAATAGAAATGTTCTGTGTGCTAATATGCTCACTGTGTTCCGGGTCTATTTAACATTCCATATTTATTAATGTCACTACAGGAGGTTTTTAAAGGTGTTTTAACCCTCTGGCACTGTCTCAAATCACCAAATTATTTTGAACTTTTTTATTGACTTTATTCCCCAATAAAGAGTGAGCTCCAGGAATAGAGAAGTGGCCTCCTACTTGGTCATTGGTTTTACAACAGTAGCTATTTGTTAAATGAATTAACTATTAAGATTTTAACATCAGGCCACAGAGATGGCTCCAAGGGTAAAGGCTCTTGCTGCCCAGCCTGAAGACCTGAGTTCTATCCCTGGGACCCACATGGTGGAAAGAGAGGAGAGAGCCAAGTCTCCCATTGTGTACTTATTCCCATACACACGCACACCACATACACAATAGTGGTAGACAAATGCCTTTAAAAGATTTTAACATGGAAGCTATATTTCAAATTCCCTTATATTTTAATAACTTTAGTTTTAGAGCATGAAGATGTACAGAGGTCCTGTGCCTCTTCCTCAGTTTTGTCCCCTAACATTACCATCATACGTCTCTGTGCTCATTTGTCCACACGAAGCCAACACTGCCATGTTGCTCTCTGAATGAGGCTCCAGACTTCTGTTTTAATTCCAATTTCTTTGTCTGCTAGTGTTCCTTTGCTATCCCAGTACCCAATCCAGTGGTTAGCTACCATGTCACCTCAGTGTTCCTTGACCTATGACCATATCTTAGTCTCTTAGGATTTTTGTGACCTTGAGGGTTTAGAAGTGCTGATTGTGACACATTTTTTTTACCATGTCCTTAGAACTGGAGTGGGCTGTTGTTTTCCTCTTGGATAGAAGAGGGCTTGGGTTTGAGGGAAGAATGAGACTCAGGTGAAATGCCCTTCTGATACCACAGAGGGACGGGGTACACACATGACCTCCCTGGTGATGCAATCCTCAGTCACATGGTTTGGGTGGTGTTCTCCAGGTCTTTCCAGTGATGATCTTTATCCAGGGATATCTGTAGCTATGTAGGTAACTCATAAACACAAACTGATTTTAGACAAAAATAATATTCTAGTACGTACATCACCATTTCTAAATATATGAGTGAACAACTTGTCGCCATGTAAAGCATAATCTCTCTTGAATATAAGAGCATCAAGTTATTCTTCAAGAAAAAATGACTGGGTGTGGTAGCACATGCCTTTAATCTTGGTATTCAGGAAGCAGAGGCAGGTGGATCTCTGTGAGCTTGAGGCCAGCCTGGTCTACAGAGTGAGTTCCAGGACAGTCAAGGACTACACAGAGAAACCCTGTTTTGAAAAATTGAAAAGAAAAAAAAAGGAAAGGAAAAAAAAGAAAGAAAAAATGAAGGATGGGGGGCCACAGAGACAGCACAGTCCATAAAGTTTTTGCCACACAAATATGAGGAGCTGAGGTCAATCCTCAACACTCAGGCATGGTGGCAGACTTGTATCCTGGATCTGGAGTTGGTGAGACAGGTGGATTTCTGAGGTTCACAAACCAACCAGTCTACCCCAGACAGTGAACCCCAGGTACCATTGAGAGACCTTGTCTCAAAACCCAAGTCACTGGTTCCTAATGAATGACACCCTGGTTGGCCTCTGCCCTCCACATGTCATGCATATTCACATTCATACAGAAAGGAGAATGATGTTTTTCTGTCTGATTAGCAGCTGCACATGAATCTACTAATATTTCAATTATCATCTGTGGCCCCATGGCCCCACAGTCAGTGCCCCACCAGCCACTCAGATTGTGGCCTGGAGTGTGGCCTAGCAGGGCTTCCGGTCCCATGGCCCCAGCTCTACTACACTGTGATATGTAGGTTTAAATTAATTCTTTATCATTGTATTTATCAATAAGACTCAGGAGTCAAAGGCTGGTGTGAAAACCTGTTAGCTCAGAGAGGTTAAGTAGCAACTAGTTGGCCTTGCTTTTTAGCTAGAGACAAGGGACATGTCTTTCTCTTTATCCCAGAACTAAAAAGCTCAAACTCTAGTCCTGGCCCTTTTCTTCCCATGTGTCCTCTCTATCCAATTTGCTGGCCTTTCTATGATTAATTCTGGTCAACTAGTTACTAACTCCGATCCCTGATTCAAGGTAAACTTTATTGACAGTCTGGAGTGTCACAGTGCAATCAAAATATCCCACAACAGGTGATAAAGTGCAGGGGGGAGGTGAAGAGAAAGAGGAAGGAGAAGAAGAGAAAGAGAAAAAGAAAGAAAAGAAAAGAGAAATTTATTTCACTAATGGATTTGTCTTCCATTAAGCATCTTAATCAATTTTTCCATCTTCATGTTCTTTTAGGTTTGTTTGTTTGTTTGTTTGTTTGTTTGTTTGTTTGTTTGTTTTTAATTAACATGCAAAGTAACAGGTTTTACTGTGGTATATTCACACACAATTTGTTTTTGCTGAGCATCCTCTTCACCCTTACCCCTTCTTTCTATATTTATGTCTCACTTGTTCTATTTTTCTTCTTCAAAAATATGATTTCTAGCTTCATGACCTATACCCAACTCATGCACACTCACATGCATGTGCAAACACACACATATATACATGCATACACACATACACTCATCCCCACACACCCATACATGCACACACAGAGATGCACACACACATACATTCACACATGCATGCGTATACACACACACAGTTAGATAATTAGAAACTTGAATGTATATATGGGAGTGAACATATTCTATTTGTCTTTCTGAGCCTGGGTTACCTCACTTAATGTAACAGTTCCAAGACCCACCCATTTTCCTGCAAATTTTAGTTCATTTTTCTTATGGTTCAGTAAAATTCCAGTATGCATTGCTGCACTGTCACACACCAGAGCTGTTGGTGAACATCTAAACTGAGTCTACTGCCTTTCTATTGTGAGCAGAGCAGCAATGAACAGGGATGTGCAAGAGTCTCCATGACAGTATATTGAGTCCTTGGGTATATGTATAGTGAGAGAGAGCTGAGGAGCGGTGTGGCTGGATCATATGGTCTCTTTATTTTTAGTTTTCTCAGAAGCCTCCACACTGATGTCCACAGTGGCTGAACCAGTTCACACTCCCACCAGGGAGTCCACTTTGCCCCACACCTGTGCAAACTATTAATTTTAGGAACATTGCTCACTAGTTTCCCAGAATCATTAATGAAGTCCATTTTGTAAACAGCTTACATTACATCATTTCCACAACATCATGATTCAGAAATATTTCCAGAATATTAGGAAGTCACCCTTTGATGGTCCTCAGACTACTTAGACCGCGACTATGTGCTTCCTTAAGAATATGTCTAAATCTGTTGGCTAAAATGTAAACCAAGTGGCGAGTTCTTCAGCAGAGTGTTTCCTTTATTTCTTTTTCTGAAGCCTAGAGTCAGAAAGAGAGAAAATGGAAGAAGTGGCCAATTATCAGTATAGACAATGTGTTTTGTCATTCCTGTGACCTCCTCTGTCCATGATGTCACGTTTGGTTTCTGAACAGATAAGCTAATTATGAACACTAATCCTCCTTCGCTGTTGAAATAAATACCTCCAGTTCTACATTTGA